AGGGAGGGAGGGAGGGAGGGAGGGAGGGAGGGAGGGAGGTAGCTGCAGGTCCTGAATGAGAGAGCCTTGCAGCGGTCCTCAGCCTTCCTAATGCTGCAACCCTTTGATGCATTTCCTCATGGTGTAGTATCCCCCCGACCATAAAATTATTTTATTGCTATACCATAACTGTAATTTTGTTACTGAGTGGTGTCCCGGTTCCTAACACCATCAGAAATGTGTTTTCCCCGGTCGCGACCCAGAGGTTGACGAACAGCTGCTACAGGCTCTTGTTCTCTAGCTTTCTAGAAAGGAGTTTGTACAGACTGGGCCCCTGGGTCCCCTGTGTTCCAAATAGAACATTCCTTTAACATGGAGATCCTCTCCTACGGCATCCGCATTCTCCCTTGGTAAGCAGACAGTCGACTCCAGACCGTTTCTACATCTCTGGCGGGTACCTTGTCATCTTTGGCACAGCCACCCAACACCAGCAAGGTAAGCCTAAGGAAGCAGCAGGGTACCATCTGGAGGTGGGGGTCGGACCGAGAGCAAGGTCAAGAACACTGCGGGAGTGCTCCCCACGTGCCCTTCCACGCCTCGTCAGGGGTGACAACTTCTGATCCTCTCTAGCTTTTAAGTCCTACAGGAAGCCCTGGGATTCCCTAACTTCCTGATTCTATTCAGTCTTCCACAGGCTCTAAGAGCACTGAAGACTTCCCAAGGGACCTTTGACACCAGCAGGGCCAAAAGCCGCTTCTCTTGAGCATGTAAGACAGGCCTCCCTCTGTCTCTAAAGGCACAAACAGCATTTACCCGGAGGGAGGCAGAGGGAGGCTGCAGCTTCTCCTGGGAGGGTATAGGCCACAATTTTCCATTGCCCCTCGCCCCCCACCACATCTTGATGCTCAGACTAGCCTGAAAGATACTGGAAGTGTCTAGTTGTGCTCCCAAGCCCAAATCCCAGCTTTCTCCAGTCCAGTGTCTTGATTCAGAAGGCCCCAAGGCATCCTTCAGTGTCTGGGACCCCCCAGGGCTAAGAAACTGGACCCTGGTCTCAGACAGAGTCAGTGCAGGAAGCAGCCAGTAATTCAGTATCTGAATCCCAACTGAGGGGCATTTGGTGTAATGACGTTATTTCTTAATCTCCCCTCTAGCTCTCCCTCCTCTTCTCTCCCTACCTCTCCCTTGCTCTTCGTTCCACTTCTTTATTTCTTTTGCAATGAGACAAGGTCTACGTAGTCTTGTTCATCTTGGAACTCATTATGTAGACCAGGCTGACCTCAAACTCCTCTTGCCACTGCTTCCTGAACGCTGGCATTACAAGCGTGTACTACACTACCTGGCTATTTTATTATTATTAATTGTGTGTGTGCGTATGTGTGTATGTTTGTGTGTGTGTGTGCATGTGCTCGTTCACACATGAGCACAGGTACCCTCAAAGGGCAGGAGCATGTGATCCCCTGGAGCTGGAGCTAACAGGCAGTAGTGAGCAACCTGACACGGATTCTGGGGATGGACCTGAAATCCAAAGGCAGAACAGTTAGTGCTCTTAACCTCTGAGCCATCTCTCCAGGCTGGACTCTAGCATGCCGTTCTCCTGCCTCAGCCTCCCAAGTGCTGAGATTATAGGATTATAACATGTTTACCCATCACCACATCTAAGTTAGCATTCTCACTTCTGTGGCGATTCGAGCCCCACCAGGATGCCTTCCCGTGGACAGGCTGCATGTGTGGGTCCCTACTTCACACCAGCTGCTGGCTGGCTGACAGGAAGAGGGACAAGCACCCAGGAGCCAGGTCAGACGCCCTCATGAAAGAATCCCGGGTCCCCAGACTGGAACTACCTTAGGGGACACCAGGCCCCCAGACCAGCACTAGCTTAGGGGACACCCCTGTTTCTGGTCTTCTTAGGGCATAAACATCCCTGAGATGCCTTGCTCTGTTTCATTTTCTTTTCCACTCTCAGGCCCCATCCGCCTGCTCCTCCACTCCAAGGCCTGTTGACCCCAGCTACCATTCACCAAGCTCCAGTTGTCCTCTAGACCTTTGCTTTGTCTGTTGGCTTGACTCTTGAGCTGGCTCTTACTAGGCAACCGTGGGTGACTTGCTTCTCACCATTCAGCTCAAGCTAGCCTTGGACTGATGCCAGTCCTACCTCCCAGCCTTTGGGGACTGAGATTACAGGCGTGAACCATCACAGCCGGCTGGGGATCTTCTTCTGAACCGTTGTACTTGATCATCGTAACCTATCTGCTGGAGACTGTTTTCCCGGCGTTCCAGAATAGACAGCAGGGGCTCCACGTTCATTCAGTTTACTAGAGCAGAGGGAGGAGCCAGGAGTCCAGCTAGCAGTGTATGCAGATCTGGTTCCTATGTCAGACCCCCGTTGCCCTGATCCCAGGCCCGAGGAAACCCACTCCATATAGAAATATAGAAACTTTGTCTTTACAGTCCTCCAAAATACAGATGGTGTCTTACTGTCCCTAACCCGAATTCCTTATTGTCATCTCTTGACCCCTAGAGTTAAGAGCGGGAAAACTCTGGCAGGGCTTCACAATGAAACTGTCTCCAACCCAGAACAAAAAGAATGGAGAACTCTGAGGCAAGGAGGGGATGTCCATTCTCATCAACCCTGTTTCACGTCCCTGGCAGGGCAAAGGAAGTTATTGATGATGCCAGACTCTTTGGAACACTTGGCCACAGTCCCTGTCTGCCCCTGACTTCAGGCACTTATTCAGAGCAAAATGTAAAGGAAGGACAGAGAGGAAGGCGTCCAAGAAGACAGCACCAAGTGAGGCAGTGCATACCTATAAACCCAGCAAGTGGGAGGCAGAGGCAGGAGGACTGAGCAAGCTCAAGGTCGGCCTAGACTACATGGTGAGACCTTAAAGAAAGACAGGAGAGAGGGGGAGCGAGAGGGGGAGAGAGAAGGGGGAGGGATGAACAGATGGAAGGGCAGAGGGATGGCAGGAAGGAGCGAAGGAAGGAGCCTGGGGATGTGGCTCAATTGGTAAATTGCTTGCCACGCAAGTGTGAAGACCCAGGTTCAGATCCCCAGAACTCACGTAAAAAGTCAGATAGGGTAGCATGCTTGAAATCCCAGCACTGAAAAGGCACAGACAGAAGGGTCCCAGGTACAAGGCAGTCAGCACCAGGTTCAGGGCAGTCAGCACCAGGTACAGGGCAGTTAGCACCAGGTACAGGGCAGTCAGTACCAGGTACTGGGCAGTTAGCACCAGGTACAGGGCAGTCTCCCCTGGACTTAGGGATGTGGGTATGGGGAAGGGATACACTTTCGACGGTTGCTGGTCACATTAGTGTCTTTGACGAGAAGCAAATCATTGAGAGTGGATGGAATGCCACGTATTTAAAATCAACCACCCGTACTTTCTAGTTTGCCCCAGCAATTCATTCCCGCCTGCCGATCTATCGTCACCACTGCTCGCTCTCTCCGTTCTGCTCCCCAACATACTGTAAACTACAGATTGCATGGTTGTCAACCGCAATGCCTCAGAATCGAAATATTTTGGATAGGAGAATTTTTTTCAGATTTTGGAATATTTGCATACACGTAGTAAGATCATGGAGATGGACCCAACTCTAAACATGCAATGTGTACAGAACCAAAAGGTAATTTTATACATTTTTCTTTTCAGTGCTGGGGATCAAACCCAGGACCAGCCCCTAAACCCAGAACTTTTAGAAAACTACCTTGACACTACAAATGAATACAAGTCTTAAGTTATTAGGGATGTTTGTGCAGTACTGGGGAAAAGCATACCTTGGGTTCCATCTTTCATCCCAGCAATGAACAACATCAACAAAAAAGTTCAGATTTTGGAACAAATTCTGGACCTCAGATTTTCAGAGTAGAGCTCTCCGCTTTATGTCAGCTGCTGATGGTGGTTTTGTTTGGAGGGTGATCCGGGCAACACAGCATATGCCTGCAATCCCAGCTACTTAGGAAACTGAGCTGGGAGAATCTCCAGTTCCACACACCACACCCCCACGCTACACATTCCAGTGTTCAGGTGATGGAGACAGGAGAGTTCAAAGTTCAAGGCTAGCCTCAGGTACACAGTTGAGTTGGAGGCCAGCCAGGGCTATGAGCATCTCTGCCACAAAATGGTGGTATATACCTTTAATCCTAGCCCTTGGGAGGTGGGACAGGTGAGATGTTAAAGGCCAGCCTAGACTACAGGCCAGTACCAGGCCAGCAAAAGCTACACAGTGAAACCCTTTCTCAAAAAAATAAAATAAAAAAAAAGAAAAATTTAAAATGAAAAAATTTTAGAGGTGATCATGGATAGGTTACCAAGTGGAGAGCAGGAAAGAAACCGTCTCAGGGTGAGAGAGTAGGAGGCACCCCACAAAGCTCTGGGAGGGGGCGCAGGCTAGCCATCATCTGGGGCGGTCTGGATCAATGACAATGATTATTGACTGTGGGAAGGGAGCAGACATCCCATCTCAGGGCCTTTGCAAGAGCAATCACTGGTGGCAGAAGCCCCTTGAGGCATCCTCTCTCTTTGATCCGTCTGGTAACCGGAGCTCGGCAAGCCACCTTGGCCTCAATGTCACCACCGTCTGATTAAATGTGGCCTCCGTCTTGCTTCCACACAGCCCTTCCTGCTCCAGCTGGGTATCACTCCACAGCGCTGAAGATTCTCCAAACACAGAGAGACGGGGAGAACCTCGTAAGTTCTGAATGAAACCCAGTTTTGCCCCCAAACTCTAAAGGAAAAGAGTTCCCAGAGTTCGGCGGGAATCCCAGGTACAGGTCCTCTTGAGGTGGCCTGCCAGCAGGTGGACGGGCGGGGAGGGGGGGTGTAGAACGGACTCACCTACTTTCTGCTGTGGGGTGGGGGTCTTCTCACCTCTGAAAAGAATCTGGGTCACAACAAACGGTTGCTCTAGCTAGAGCCACCTGGCTTTCTCCTCAGGCCACGCACCTGAGGGCAGGGACAAACATCTGTGTGGAACATGTCGGTTATGCCTCACAATGTGGTCGGTTCTGGGTAGCCAGGTCATGCCTTCTCTGGTGTTCACCCGTGGAATAGGCTCAACCACAGCATCTGCTTCCCAAGGTTGTCTAGGTGATGGTGTCTTAGTGGGTGCTGCTATTGTGATAATTTCCATGGACAGCTTATGAAGAAATCCAGCAGCTAGCTGACCTGGGGTTAACTGACAAACACCAGCCTCATCCAAAACTGAGGATAAAATGCAAGAAATTTGCCAAATACTAGGAGGGGAAGGGGTTGATAAATAAGCACAACTCAGCTGTGCACAGGACAGGGGAAGGCCTGAGGCTAGATGTTAGCCATAAATGACTACCAAACTCTCAGCCTTCTAGGTGCTTACTACATTAGAGCAAGGGCAGAGGAGGAGAGGGGTGGGCCAGTGATGAGACGTGTTAGGATTACGATAAATCAGGTTCTGTGCACTGAGGACCATTAATTATAGATACTTTTTTCTTAAACTCAGAAGTTTCATTAATTGAAACCCTTCCCCTAGCAGTCTGAATTGCTCGTTTTAATAGGAAATATTTTTTAAAATCATTCCTGTGGGGCCGACACCTTACACACTTGTATCTTTCAACTCTCACAACCAGACACACCTGCCCAGCTGAAGTCACTGACTCTCAAATTCTCAGCAGGCTTTCTGCCTCACTTGGTGACTTTTAGGTTAGGGAACCATAGCCTGGGAAACAGGCTGGTTTGTGGAGGGCACCCAAGAAGTACAGAGTTTAGATTCTGAGCTGGAGGGAACCTGCCTGGAAGATCAAGCTTATGGAGAAAGCCACCCACCTGCCACCAACCCAGGTCACACTGCTCTTCAGGCACTTTCCTCTGCGATGTCTGCGTTTTGTTTTTAGTTGCCTCTCTTGGGAATATCTTTGCTGGAACACAGGAAAAACGAGTGCTCAACAGTGTAACAGCCTCAGCGACAGCCTTCCTCCTTCTCCACGCTCCACAGCTCAGGCAGAAATCTGCCATTAAGCACCGTGTCGCCTGGAAGATTAGTCAAAACCAGGCTGATCCCAGACAACTGATGGAAATCTCATTGCACGCAAATTACGGCATGGAAAATAATGATAGGTAATTAGTGTCTTTCAATTGGGGCTTTTTATCCATCAGTTTTCAGACTTCATACATCAGAAGAGAGAGGGGCTGTGCTGAAGCTGGAAGCCACCGCCAGATGAAGAGTGGCCACCTCAGGACAGCCGGAAGTCCCAGTCTGGCCCCCAGATGGCCACTACGAGCTTTTGTGAAGCTTCAGCCCTGACCTGGAACTTCCTCAGAGAAGTGTTCTCATTCCGGGGTCATCAATACTAGTGGCTCTCATTCCAGTCCACTCGGCCAGCTCTGGGTTCCCCACACTCCAACAAAGGGGCAGGGAAACTGTCTGAATAACTGGGCATGGTGGCACAAGCCCATAACCCTATGACTTGGGAGACTGAGGCAGGGGGATGGCCTCAGAACAGCTTGTACTACATAGACCTTGGCTCAAAACAAGATCAAGAAAAAAAAAATTAACAGGGGTAGAAAGATGGCTTAGAGATTAAGAGCTCTGGCTACTCTCCCAGAGGACCAGGATTTGATTCTCAACACCCACATGCCAGCTCACATGATCTGTGACTCTAGGTCCACAGGGATCCCGATGACCTCTTTGACCTCTGGGGGTACCAGGCACACATTTGGTGCACAGACACACATACAGGCAAAACACTCAAACACATAAAAATAAATGAAGGAAAAGACTTGAAAGGGCCAGCAAGATGGTTCAGTGGGCAAAGAGCTTCTTGCAAACCTGATGGCTGAGTGCTATGCCTGGGACCCACGTGGGGCGGAAGGAGCAAGCTACATACACTCACAGGCACACATACACGCACACACACACACACACACGCATACACACACTTGTGCACACACACACATAATGAAAGAAATTTAAAACCTCACAATCTGTTTCTACCCCATCTACTGTGGGACAATGGTCTTGTATTGTTTTAATAAAAGGCTGACTGGCCAGTAACCAGGCAGGAAGTAGAGGCAGGGCAATGAGAACCAGAGAATTCTGGAAAGAGGAAAGGTTCAGTCTGCAATCGTTACCCAGACACAGAGGAATCCAGACCCAGAGGAAGCAAGATGAAAATGCCTCACTGATAAAAGGTACCAGGCCACGTGACTAGCATAGATAAGAATGATGGACTAATTTAAGATGTAAGAATTAATTAATAAGAAGCCTGAGCTAATAGGCCAGCCAGTTTATAATTAATATAGACCTCTGTATGTTTCTTTGGGACTGAACAGGCCCCGGGGCAGGACAGAAACCTCTGTCAACACCCATCTCTCATGTCCTACTAAAGGCAGCATGACATTTGACATTTGTGAATGTCATGACAGGTCCCAAGCCTGTTTATATTTTCCCCCTGTATCAGTCAGTGATATGGCATAAACACCCCACAGACTGGTGCTGAACACACTCTGGTGTCTCCAGATGGCACCTTGTTCTCACATGAGCCATGGGCATGGTCTTGGCACCGAACTCACAGCTGGACAGTCTGAATTTGAACCCCAGTTCTGCCACTCATGATCGGGGTTATTTAACCTCTAGATGCCTCAGCTTCCCCATCTGTGACACGGAGATTTGAATGGGAATGCTCTTCTCACAGGGCAGTCTTGAGAGTGAGCACCTTGATACACAAAAGTCCCTGGTACATAGTAAATACTCATCTGTATGAGTAATGATTTTTTTTTTTTTTTTTTTTTTTTTTTTTTTTTTTTTTTTTTTTTGAGACAGGGTTTCTCTGTGGCTTTGGAGCCTGTCCTGGAACTAGCTCTGTAGACCAGGCTGGTCTCGAACTCCCAGAGATCCGCCTGCCTCTGCCTCCCGAGTGCTGGGATTAAAGGCGTGTGCCACCATCACCCAGCTTATGAGTAATGATTTTATCACCCTTGTTTGGCAATAAGGGAACGGCCTCTACTTACCTCCCACCCACGCATATGTCCATCTGCCCATTCAACCATACACTCACACACTATTTGCACTGAGAAATTCCTGCTAGCAAAAGGTACCCTCATGCAGGCGCTTCTCCTGGGAACTGACATCCAATTCCAACATATACTTCTTCCTCTCTCTCAGACAAGAGCGGCACCCGATCCAAGACAGGCCACCAAGTCTCTCCCAGAAGATTTCTGGGGTTGGAGATGCCTCTCCTGGGCCAGGAACTGCAAGCTGCAGAGCTCCAGGGTTGAACAAGGTCATGCACCTCTCCAGTGTGCAGTGGAAAAGGAGAATATTGAAGCTAGCAGCAACCAAGAGCGAGGGTCAGAGGCAAAGGATTCTGGGAGGCTGTGCTGGTGCAGCAGCCAGCGGCATCTCTGTTCAAGCCATTAAGCATGGCTGCTTCCCTGAAGCCTGCGTCCACACAGAGGACTTCAGGCACTTGAAGGCATGACTCTAGCACCATCTCCATCATGTCCTCACACGCTCATTCTCTTGCTGTTCTTTGAGTATCTACGTACGATCTATTGTTCCCCTAGTCAACAAAGCAGACAGGCCCCTGCCCTCAAAGACAGACAGTGCCATATTGTATTAACTCTAGGCAGCACACCTTCTCCACCCACCTACAGTGGTAGAGGGATAAGACCAACTTTTTGTGGGGTTAGCCACCATGGCATTGTGACTGTAGGAAGGAAGAGCCAATGCTGCCCCCTAACTAATACCAGGAGTAAGGCACCGCTTGGCGCAAACCCAGTCAGTGATGAGGACCCTGAAGACTACAAGGCAGTGGGATGCCTGTACCCTGAGGGGAGACTTCTCAGGGAAAGCTCTGCTGGAGGAGGAGCAGGCCGAGGCCTGTGACTGAGAAAGAGGGAAGATGGGAGAGGTCTCCTGGTTAGCTCGGACCAGTGATGAGCCAAGTAGCAATGAAAGACACACATCCTGGGCACCGTGCTTCTTTGTGCAGCCCAGGGAGCATCAGCACGTAAGGTGCTTGGTACCCACCGCCGACCTCTACTCCCCTCACCCCAGCTGCACCCCATCACAAACCCAATCCTCCCTGAGTGTTGCTACCAGCTTATGCATATTCCCAACGACGGACATGTGTGCAAGCCCAGAAAGAGGACACTTCTACCCGCTCTCCGGTCATCGAAGTGGCCCTTTCTATGTGGCCTTAGGCACAGCACAGGTGACACAGGCTATTTATGGCACTCAGCATCCTTTTCCTATTCTCGATCCATTTTCCAGCTTTGTGTTCTCTTGGCAGATGACAGAGCTATCGTCATTCAGTGAGACGGATGGGGACCAGGCTTTACAGTCAACTGGCAGTGTCACCGACAACGTCACAGAGGGTTTGCTCTATCCCCATGCATGGGGCAAGTATGTACGAGGTCCCTAATTCACTAAAACTTGCTGAGGTGGCCCCTATCATTCCCCTGTTCTGCCCTGTCCCCCTGCCCCAGTCTGGCCTAGAACTCACTTTGTGGACCAGGCTGGCCTAGAACTCATAGCAATCCTCTAGTAACAGTACTCTGGGATTATAAGCATGCACCACTGTGCCTATCTCGTTTGCCCATTTTTCAGATGAGGACACTGAGGTCCAGAAGGGAAAGAGTCACCGTCTTGGCAAGGGTCACATAGAAAGAAAACACTGTGGTAAGTTACCGTGCTAAGGGTACTATCCCACACTCAGAAAGCAGGGATTTCATCTCACCTGGAGCTTTCCAAGATCAGTTCACCTTCTCTGCTGTTTCCTGCCCACGTTCCTCCCAGGTTGCACCATCTCGACTACTGAACTACTGTTGTGAGACAGAACCTTTCCTGGGGAAGACACGACACGGGTCTTCTGACCCCAGACAGGGATCCCCAGCAGCCCAGTGAGCGTGTACCCTTTAATTCCAACTTGGTAACCAATGAATGTTATCAGGGTTACTCACAGGCACAGGAGTGACTTACAGACAGCTGCACCACCAAGGCCCACCCCAGCACCGGTGACAGCTCACAAAAGCTGGGAGCCTGGAGCACACTGCACAGCCTGCAGGCAGCTCAGCAGGGCGGAGAGCATCCTTTCCAGGCGGCTGTTGGTCTAAACCTCTTCCAGGAAGCTCGGCTGGTCTTGGAGTCCTTTTTACAGCCTTTTTCCTCAGAGGGTTCTCTTGGCATCTCAGCCTGTCTGGAAATCTTCCTTGTAGTTTAGCTTTTGCTTTCCCTTAAGCCGACTTTCAATTTTTCTTGTTTACTCTGGCAGGGAGGGGCCTAATGAATCTGGTCAGTTTCAGGGAGTTCCTGGAGCTATTTTTTAGTTGTTTACTTCTCTGCTTAAGGAGCTCTCCTGCAGGATGGAATGTTTTTTTTTCTCAGAGGAGACCTCTGCACAACAACAACCTCCCTCATCTTTGTTGGGGTCAAGGGCCTGCAGTACGCTATTGTCTGGCTTTGCCATTGTCTGGTTTTACCACCACCACTCCAGGCACCCGCCCTATCCTGTCAGTACCTTAACTGCATTGAACCTCCATAATACCAGGAATTCCATTTGGCTTCTCTTGCTTTCTACCAGCTCCCAGAACACTCACTCTCAGACTGTGCTGGCTGGTTTTGTGTCAACTTGAGACAAACAGGAGCCATCTGGGAAGAGAGAACGTCAGTTGAGAAAACTGGCCTCTGCAAGCCTCTGGTGCATTTTTAAAATTGGCTGATTGATGTGGAAGGGTCCAGCCAACTGTGGATAGTGCCACCTCGGGGCTGGGGGTCCTGGGATGTATAGGAAAGCAAACTGAGCAAGCCACAAGGAGCAAGGCAGCACGCAACACTCCTCCATGGCCTTTGCACCAATTCCTATTCATCCTTCTAGATTCTTGCCTTGAGTTGCTTTGGATCATGGTGGGTTTTTTGTTTTGTTTTGTTTTTTATTTTATTTTACATCCCCATCACAATTTCCCCTTCCACCTCTGCTCCCAGTCCTTTCCCTTTACCCCCTCCTTCCACCCACTCCTCCTCAGTTTCTGTTCAGAAAAGGGCAGGCCTCCCATGGATATCAACAAAACATGACAGATCAAGTTGCAGTAAGACTAAGCACCTCCCCTTGTATTGAGGCTGGGCAAAGCAAGTATAAGGAATAGGGTCCGAAAAGTCAGCAAAAGAGTCAAAGACAGCCCCCTTTTCCCACTGTTACACAAGAAGACCAAGCTACATTCCTTGACCCTTCTGATTCCCCCCCCCCCTCCTACAACCCTCCCTCTTTCTCTTCATCGTTCAGGAAATGGAGGTAGGCCGTTTTTTGGCCTCCCTAATCTATGCTGCTGTGAGATGGGCTGGAGCCAAGGTTGCCCTTGGCCATACTGTCACTCACCACTGACTGACCCCACGGTTGACTATTGATCTGATAAATTAGCAGCTGGCTGGCTCCATCAAAATGGGATTCTGCAATTCAATTACTGCTCGGGACCGCAGCCTTCATCCTACCAGGCTGCTCCTGCCCCAGAGCTGGGGAGGCAGAGTTATCCTCTGTGCTAACAGAGGAGACTGTGGCTCTGTTTCTTGGGGAGGCAGCATGATAGCGAGGAAGGGGCGTGCCGGCCATGCCAGCAAGGATGGGACCTCTGAGCTTCAGGGAGGAACCCAGCCTCAGCTCCCAGCTGTGCAGAGAGACATCAGATACCATCACACTCCACCGAGCCTTAACTGCTGCACCAGGAAACTGGGTTCCAAGAAACAACTTGATGGCATTGGGCGGTGGTAAGGCCATGGGGTGGGGGGAGAGAACAGAAACTCTCAGAAGAAGAAAAAGGACTGGAGGAGAGTGCCAAGCTTCCTCTGTCGGCACCTCCAACCTGCACAGTGCTCTATGTATCCTAGTTCTTCATCTCCAGAATGACTCTGGGAGCCGGAGGGATTCTCCATGGTTAAGATCCCTGACTGTTCTTGCAAAGGACCTGGATTAAGTTTCCAGCACCCACATGATGTCACACAAACATCCCTAACTCCACTTCCAAGGGACCCCCATATAGGGCTAAAAAGTCCAAGCTCACCTCAGGGTTTTGAAAACCCACCAATCCCTGAGCTCAAAAACCCACCCATCCCTTAGCTTGATCCTAGCTCAGGACTTGAAATCCCATCAATTCCCATCCTGGAAATCTCCACCATGGAAAACTGTGCCCCCAAGAAACCCTATATAACCCTGCCTTCTGCTCAGTTCTTTGCAGTTTCTAGCCCAAGCAGAGACAGCTACCCTTTTGAGTCTTTCCCACTAAATCTCTTTGTGTGAAGTTTGTTGTGCGGTGTGACTTTGTGGTATTCCTTGGCTCCTGACTGCCAGAATACCTTTCCCTTCAGAACTGCAGCACTTGCCTTGGGGAAACCTTTCCCCTCAGGGCTGTAACATTCACATCCAATGCCCCCTTCTAAACTTCAGGGACCCAAGGCACACTTGTGGTGTACAAAATACATGCAGGCAAAATATTCACATACATAAAACAAATAAATGTAAAGCAGAAAGTCTGAACAAATGCCGCTGCTGTCTGTCTACCTGGCACTTGCCTCAGAGCCAGCTCTAGAGAAGCTTCCAGAAGGTCAGGCCGGAAAGAGATAGGTAAGGAAGACAGACCTCTGTCTGCTGGTAGATCCAGGCAGAAGAGATGTCACTTAGTACCAATTTAGTATTCTGGGTGGCCTGCAAGCCTTGAAGTTAAGAGAGCTCAACATGGGTGGGGTGGGAACTTCCAGTGTCAAGTGGCTAGTCTGGCCTGGTGGTGGTGTAATTCCAGTTCCTAGGCTACCCAAGGCAGGAGAATCTCAAATTCCAGGCCTGTCTGGTCCACAAAAGAGTGGGAAGCCTCAGGCCCCAGGAGCCTCCAACCTAAACACATATGACTTGGTTTTGACTTGATGGCATGTTTTGACTATTTAATTATTTTCATAATGCATTGACCTAATCTCTCTCCCCTCATCTTTCTCCCTCCCTCTCTCCTTCTCTTTCTCTCTCTTTCCCTCTCTCCTCATATGGTTAGAATGGTAACCTCCTAGCCCCCATCATCTTTAAGCCTTATACCTCAGGCTTGAAGAAATCCTAAACAGCACACGTTGTCCTCCGAGCCTGGTGGGAACAGCCCGGATGCTGACTTGGCTTCTTTTGATTCCAAAACTCTGTCTTGACATTGTTACTCAAGTTGCTTGCCCTGGCTGTAATGGGTTTGCTGCGGGGTCCCAAAAACAGCTAGTCCCAAGCAGGCTGTGAGTCCCTGGCAGCTTGCTGCGGGGTCCCGGCAGCGGCAGACAGTGGGTCTCGGGAAGGTGCAAATCCCCGGCAGTGGGCAGCAGGACCAGCCAATTTTAGGCAGGGACTGCATACGAGACCACGCAGCATATCTCCATGTGGTGGTGGCAGGTGGGCGAGAGAGAGAGAGAGAGAGAGAGAGAGAGAGAGAGAGAGAGAGAGAAAGAGAGAGAGAGAGAGACAGAGGCACACCATGCAGAGTAAAGTTGGATGAACATTTATTAGGTGGGTTATTGAGGGGAAGGAAAAAGGGGAGAAGAGGGGAGGGGGGCGAAGGGGAGAAGTGGGGAGAGGCAGAAGCTTCGAGAGAGAGAGGGGGGACAACTGGCCATTCTACATCCCTTTCTAGGAAAGGGAGGCAACCTTGGCCATCTGCTAGTGGGAGCTGAAAGTGCAGGCAGCAGGAAGTGAGACTTCACCCCGGAAGAGAGCTAGATCCCTGAATCTAGAGCTGACCTCAGAGGCTTATGCCAGGTAGGAGCTTTTTGGCTAATTGGATCATGATAATTTCACAGAGAATATCAGGGTTAAAAAGTGAAATCACCCCGAGGTAGTGAAAATCCACATGACAGAAAGAAACCCTGGCTGGATACAATGGTTGGAGATCAGTATGACAGAGACTGGAATCCATATTTATTGTCTTCTATCCCTTGTGTCCGGCCAGTCAAATTCCCATGGCAGACACCCTGCAACTCAGGAGCTGGGGCCAGGAACCATGCGTTAGGAACCAAAGGCCAGGCTTCCGGACCCAAAACACCAAGGAACCTTTTGCTCATGGGAAGAGAGGAACATCAGAGTCCACCCCCAGACAACCCCTTCTCCCTCTGTGACCTCCAGAAAGTTCTTGGCCTTTTCCAAACCCCAGCTTTTTCATTTCAAGCAGGGACAACCCACTTACTCAGGGTGGGATATGTATTGTGAGTACTGAATTAGAATGCTAATTTCAGAAGCCATGCCAAGTGTCAGCTTCCTTTAAAGATGCCCTCCGCCCTTTGCATTTCTTCACCCCAGCTCCTAGAAGAGATCAAGAACACCTTCAGAGCAGATCATTGCCCCAGGGACCCACCCACAGAAGACACCGTACCCCAGCTCAGCCCCAGTGAGGCAGAGAAGGCTCCCTAATTTGTGTGGCTTAGTGACAGAGGGGTACTTGAAGCCAGTCCCCAATTCCGGCATTCCTGAGGCCTGAACTCAGCCTTGCTAGTTCACAGCCTTTCAACATCTCAACCCCAAAAGAGAGTTGGCAAGGGGCCTGGCTCGTAAGCCTCGGGACTGTTAGCATCACAAAAGCTGAAAGAGAAAAAAAAAAAAGCTGAGAGAAGTCACAGCCCAGGGCCACTCAAGATGTGACAACTAAACACAGCCGGGGATTTGAAGGAAGGGCATCAGCAGGAAAACCAAGGCAATTTGCAAAGGGCGAGGAGTTTGTGCCATTCACAGTGATGGTGTGAAGGGTCATCTCAGCTGTGACAAGTCTGATGTTTACCCTGGTGACGCAAGGCATAGAGAAACTCCATGATGGGTGTGCAGGGGTTCAGTGCTATGTTGAGAACTGGTCTGTAATATAAAACCTATCCCAGTAAAATGCTTTTAAAAGAGATTATAAAGACCAGAAGCGGTGGCACCCACCTGTAATGCCAGCACTTGAGAGGCAGACCCAAGAGGAGCTCAGGGCCAGTTTGGGCGAGGTGAGACTTTATTGAAAGAAGGAAGCGAATTAAGTAAGTAAATGAATAAATAAGAAAAAGCAAAACAAAACAACTAGACCTGGTAGTATAGGCCTGTGATTTCATGGCATAAGAGACTGAGGGTAGAAGGAAGGACAGAAAATGGAAGGCCAGCCTGGGCTACACACTGAGTTAAAAGCCAGCCTGGACAACGGAGTGACCCTATATCAAAATAAAACAAGGGTTACAGATATAGCCCTGTCTCACTTAGCATGGTCAAGACTCTGGGTCTGATTCCTAATATGGTGAGGAGGAGTGTCAGATTAAGACAAAAACAAAAAAAGTTATGTATTCCTGTGTGCCTCAGTGCTCAGAGTGCAACCATGTCCCACCCCTTCTGGCTCTTGGTTAGGGTGGTTTTGGGCTAGACCCAAATCCCCCATGCAGTTTAGGAGCCCTCTCCCTTCATCCTCCAAACTGGCTTGTACAAGACGTGACTCTTGCTTGTTTCCCATTTGGACTCCACAGACCTGGGCAAGTCCAGGGTCTGGGTAGGTCGTGACTGGGACAAAGGTGTGAGTCTCAAGCCAGGTGAGGGTAGACACAGTGTGACTCCGGTATATTAGTGGCAAACTCAGGTCCTAAGAGGACAGAGGACCGGTCTCAAGGTAAGGGGGCCTGCCCCCTTGTTCCCAGCCCATACACACCACAGTGTATCTCAGGACCCTGGGTGTGACTGGAGGGACAGACAGACAGACAGACACAGTGGTCCTCAACCTTCCAAATGTGGCGACCCTTTAATACAGGTCCTCATGCTGTGGTGACCCCTATCCACAAAATTGTTTTGTTGCTACTTTATAACTGTAATTTTGCTACTGTTATTCATCTTAATGTAAATAACTGGTATACGGGATATCTGAGATGCAAGCCCTGTGAAAGGGTCCTTCGACCCACAGGTTGAGAACGACTGGGTTACAGGAGGCTGGGGTTACACCACAACTCCCATCCAAGAGCATGTTCTGATCAATCAGCTCAGTTCAGTCTGGAAAGCAGGAAGAGGAGGCACGGATGAAAAGCAGTGCAGCAGAAAGCAATGAGGGACAATCAGGTTTCGTTAGAGTCTGTATGCGCTGCGCTGCCCAGGTAGGGTGGACGGGGAAGCAAGGAAGTTCAGTGAGTGGTGTGGGGGTGGGGGTGGGGATCCAGCCTTGCATCTGAAAACATCCAGATGCCACTGTGACCACCATTGTAATAGCCGTGTGACCCTTAGGGGCCTTTGCAGTAACGCCAGGGGGTCAGAACTGAGAGTGAGCCAGCGCTGGCTTGGTAGGTAGGAAACTCAGGGATAGGTTTTTGTAGGGGTTACACCTACCAAAGCAGAGCCCAGGTTCCCTAGACCTTATGGGAGCCCAAACCAGGTTCGCAACCAGCATGCCTTGTGCTTTCTAGGGTGCAGGGTGTCCCTTACGCCATGAGGAAACACATTTCCCTCCTACAAACAGTAGATAACTATGCCTTTGTTTAATTTGATGTCCCACATATTTATTGAGTCAAATACAACAGATTCTGAACCTAAAGATATTCAGGGCAGTCAGGCATGGTGGCTCATGATTGTAATCCTACCACTTTAGTAGAGGCAGGAGGATTGCTTTGAGTTTGAACCCAAGTTGTGCACCCACATAGTAAGTTATGTTCACAGAGAAGCATCGACTTGCTCTCCTGAGAAGTGGGTCGGTTGGGGAGGCTTCCTGGAGGGGAGGTGAGGCCAGGCTTGAAGGAGAAGGTATCCTTTGGTAGTAGGTCTAGCCTAGCTGGTGATAGCTGACTTCCCTACTGAGGAAAAAGAGGCTCCCAGAAGCCTACGGCAATCTCCTGCTCTGCAGCCCCCCCTCCTCTCACACCAATGCTTCAGCAAAGCCAGCTATTTAAAGGAACCTGGAGCTAATCCTCATGCACAAGGAACATCTTTAAGTAAAGCTAATAATCGCTCTGTGATGCAGCTGTTAGGTAATTCAGGCTCTCACAGTGCAGCCTGGGGCTGAGCTGCTCTGGTCCCTACAAACCTGTCTTCACCCCGGGGGAGGATGGGTTCTGGGTCAAGGATGGGTTGCCAGGGGCTGTGGGTGACAGCGGGGCAGGAGCACAGTGGGAGCTTACGTTCCTGCTGATCTATAAGCAAGCCAGAGCCTGCAGGCTCACAGAGAAGGGAGAGCGGGGAGGGGATCAGACGGGACT